ATCTTCTATAAAAAATTTTATTTGAGTTTTTTTCGAATTATGAATCCCTTCCAAATAAAAATTTAAAACAACTACTAAAACTTGTTTTTTTTTTAAATTTTTTTTGCATGTATGTTTTTTTGTTCATAAATTAACAAATTTTCTTAGTTATATTAAATAAAAAAAAAACAAGAAACACAATTGTAGATGCTTATTGTATGTGTTTTATGTTATGTATGTTTGTGAATTTTATGGCCCAACCCTCGCGAAGTCCTGCCCCCACCTCTACGTGGTGCAACCCGGGCAACGGATCCCACCTCTTGGGATCCGGCTAACGGGGAAGGCCACACCACGTTGTGAATCAGCTCTTAATTAATTTCTGGCTAATTCACAACGTGGTGGTGTGAATTATAGACGGCGTGGGCCGCCCTAAGCAATACCTCGCGGTAGTTCCAGGCGGCTCACAGTATGCCAGATGTTGGATTGGAAAAAAAAAAAAAAGTATCTTATTGTTAATCGATAATTATGTATTAAATGTATTTGAGTTAATATAAAATTTGTATTTATTTATCAAAAAGTCAACAAAAACAAAAAAATTATTTTTCCATGTGAGTACTAAAGAAATGTACACATGGATTGAAATAATACACAAAAGTAACTTCAGTTATAATATTTCATGTGATTTGTGGCGATGGGCGTTTATCGTTTCCGCCAAAATTGACCGTATCGTTTCTGCCAAACTGATCTTCTACCTGTCTATCTACTAAATAAATTGAGAACCATTTAGCTTTATCCATGGTAGGCAGCTTCCCGTACCAAAATTTTATCACATAAATACACTTTTATAAACAAAATATGGCGTTTTACCAAAGGTAAATAAATTATAATAGATAACTGTCTTAAGTATGTATATATATTTTTGTAATAAATAATAAAAGTATAGTTTATAAAAAAATATAGTCATCAAAAAATTGAAATAAAATTAAAATATTAATTATAAGCTTAAAAAATATTTAATATATTAAATAATATAATAAAAAATAGATCTATGATCTATACATTTTTCGGTAGTTGTTGGAAACTAATTTTACAAATTCAAGTCTGCTAATTTCTTTTTTATTAAACTTATCAATTGCCTCTTTTGTTTTATTGGAACGGATTTCAATTTTACTCCGTACGCTTATTGAGATTGCGTTATTAGAACTATATATTTTAATGTAATTATAAGATTGAACGTTTTCTATTAAAATTTTTAAAAATATATTAATAGAAGGATGTGCCTTATAAAATTGATCATTAAAATGTGAATCAATGCCCAAATTTTTGGAGGATATTTACTTTCCTCAGAAATATAATTGTCGATTAAATAATCAGCATACTGAATGAAAGCTGTTCCCTCAGGTATTGATGTCATGAAGTCATCAACGAAACAATCAGACACGTCTTCTGGAATTAAAAAAGTTAACCCGAAGGTACCTTTTAATCATTCACATGTTTTATAAGCATTACTCAAACTCTTGAAGTTTTCTGTACCAACTCTGGATTAAGTGAAATCTACAACCAATTATAGTAATTAATGGCCACACAATTAGAGCAGCTTTGTGAATAGAAACTTCGAAATCGACAGTTATATTTTCAGGATACAGTAATAACTTTTTTTCAGTGCATTTATATTTTATAACCTCAAAAGCTTCTTTATAAGTCTCTATAAATTTATTTTTTAATAAACAAAAAACAAGTGGTACATAGTAATTGTTTATATATCCGTGTATGGTAAATAATTGTACAAAATATTTTGGGCAATACTGAAAAGTTCCATCTACGTATTTTGATTTGGAATTGCAAAGAAATTTGAGGTTTGTATCACAAGAAAAAATAATAATATTTTTCTCATAATCGTTGTGTAATAAAAAATGTTCTCCGCGCGTAGTTAGTATTTCTGTATGATCAATAATTGTATGTAATTCACAAATAGATTCTGGAATAGTAGGAAAAAGTCTAGTGCGATAAATAGTTTGGCGAATACATGACACATCCGTTGTCGTAAAATTATTATTACTTAATGTTTGAATTTCCCCTAAAATTATTTTTTGCTGTCTTTGGCAAATATCGTCAACGGCTTTGCGTTTACAAGCGCCTGCTAATTTTTGTCTCATAATTATGGGATCAGAACAAGGGCCATTACATGTATGTTCTATAAGATATATTAAAACTAATTTAAAATAAGGTCAGCTTTAATCAATTTAACTAAAAATTTTAAAAATACCTGTTTGATCAATAATTTCATCAAGCTCATTCACGTGAATGGTACCTTTGCATTCTTTTACAAAACAACGCCAACGTATGTTACACGTTTGTATTGCTTTATATGCAAAACGAAACCTAAAATTATTCAATAAAATCATTTGTTGGACCCGCTTACTTCTGATATATTCAAATGACATTTTAATTTAAAAAATAAAATAAAAAAGAACGGATGGCAAAATATTTATCGATATACCGATCAGTACACTGCTATCTAACTAACAATAATAGAATAGGAAGAAGTTCGATTAAATGATAAGTAGATAATTATTATCGGGTTATTTTGGCAAATATTTTAACCAGTGATTCTCAAGCTTCTATTTGTAGACAGGTATAAACTATTGGTTTGGCGGAAACGAAAAACCGACCTTATTCAAATTTGGCGGAAACGATACGGTCAATTTTGGTGGAAACGATAATCTCCCGTGGCGATTGTACTATCGTCTGGCAGTGCTGTTCGTCTTATTACCTTAAAAACGTGTAAACCCAACCTCACTCAACCGGATCTTAGTGTTTTTTTGTATATATATACAGGGTGTTCAGTCATTACCGAGTAATGGATCGAAAGATCGAAGATCCGGTGGTGGAAATTGAAAGGAGAAAATGAAAAAGAGTTTGTAAAGACGGTAAAAGAGAGGACGGTGTGGAATGTCGAGGGAGACATAATTGATGCGTGGAATAGATTTGCTAGATGTGGAAAGAATACTGCAAAGGAGATTGTTGATGAGAGTAGGAGTATGATGTCAGGAAACAAGAAAACCTGGTGTTGTGATGAGGACGTTCAAAATATCATAGAAAGTAAGAAAAAGCAATTCAAAGTATGACAGAAGAGCAAAAGTAGAGAAGACTGGATGAAGTATAAATGCTTGTGTAAAGAAGCCAAATGTGCAGTAAGTATGACGAAGTTTAAGAGATATGATGAGTTGTATGATAGGCTAGAAACAAAGGAAGGCGAGAAAGAAATCTATAGACTTGCAAAGATAAGAGAGAAAAGGACTAAAGGTTATCATTATATAAGGTGTATAAAAGGTGTTAATAATAAGGTACTCTCGAGTGATGATAATGTGAAAAAAAGGTGGAAAGAGTATTTTGAAAAATTATTGAATGAGGAGTACCCAAAAGAGACATTAGAGGATATCTCGTTGAATGAGGAAATGGTATATTTAATTAGTGAGAAAGAGGTATCAGAGGCTGTGTCAACAATGAAAAAGAATAAAGCAGTGGAACCAGATGAAGTGCCAGTAGAAGTATGGAAAGTATTAGGCGATGTTGGCATAAGGTGGTTGAAGGAACTTTAAAATAAAATCTTATTAGAAGGGAAAATTCCAAATGAATGGAGGAATAGTATTGTGGTGCCGATATTTAAAGGTAAAGGTGACATACAGGAGTGTGAAAATTTTAGAAGCATAAAGCTTATGAGTCATAGTATGAACATTTGGGAAAAGACAATAGATAAGAGTATAAGAATTGAGACATTGGTATAAAAAACCAGTTTGGATTTATGCCTGGTAAGTCAACAATGGAGCCATTATTTTGTGTGAGGCAACTAATAGAAAAGTTTAAGGAAAAAAAGAAAAAGCTTTTTATGGTATTTATAGATTTGGAGAAAGCGTATGATAGAGTACCGAGAGAGGTTCTAAAGTGGGCATTAATGAGAAAAGGAGTCCCGAAAAGGTACATTAATATAATAGAGGACTTATCATTCTCAAAACACATTACATATATTTGTAATAAAGCTTCTAAGGCATTAGGATTTATAAAACGTAATTGCAATGAATTTCAAAATATAACATGTTTGAAAACCTTATATATTTCACTAATACGGACTATTTTGGAATATGGGTCTATTATATGCTCACCACATGTAATATTATATTATTACTTATAATATTAAAATATTATATTATGTTATCTTTTGTACATGTATGTCATATATTGTGAATTCACAAGATCACCAAAACAGAGTTCCCTTATTTAAAACTTAAAATATCAATAAATCAGGCAATTAAATCTGATTATCGTACAGATTCAAAGTAACGCCCATGTGCGGGTTTTCAATTAGGTCCAGCCAATCACATTTAACTATTAATTAAGATCTATAGTTTCTAAGATCACATTAGAGATCGCTACACGANGTCCAGCCAATCACATTTAACTATTAATTAAGATCTATAGTTTCTAAGATCACACTAGAGATCGCTACACGACCCTCGTCTACTATAAAACCCATTTTTTCCTATTAAAATCAGTTCTTTCGGCGATTTTAAGATACACAAAATCTGCGACACTTTATTCAAGATTCTTACTCTCTGGAACTTAGTTTTTTTTAATTTATTTGGACTTAGAATATTTTTTTTTAAAACTAAATGACACTTAGGGATTTTAAAGTGAATTTTGTTTTGGTGAATCTTTTAATTTAATTTAATTTGTTTATTAAATAATAATGTTTTATTTTATTATGGAAATAAATGTCAATTAATATTTTAAAACAAAACATATTTTTTTTTTAAATATATATAATAAAACTGAATCAACTCTAATTTTCTCAGTTAATGATAAATATTTATTATATGACTAAGTGTATTGCAATCCTATACTTATTGGGTAGCTAGTCTTTTAAGGTTTAATGTCTTTGTTCTAACGAACATCGAATACAGTCATAGATTTTGTGTAACGGTTTCGTATTATTTATAATTAAACGCTTTATTCTCAAAAAGACATATTTACTATCGAACTCAAAGTGTACAACGTGTGAAATACAGTGTAAACTCATAATCAACATTGGATTGTCTAAAATAAGCATTACACTACGTGGAATACAAGGTAAGTACAAATTTAAATTCCCGCTTTCAAATTATAAATACTATATTCCGTAATAAACCATTAAGATAGGTAATAAAGTTTGGTAGGATAATTGACTTCATTTATTCAATATTGTTCAACCCCGAGATCAGTTCTTTATTTTTGTCACAACGTTTGTGTGCATTTTTATTTATTTGATCATTACTCTCATGTATTTAAATTCCGTTTATTCACCCCTCTGAATTTTTCTTTATTCGTATCATTATATCTTTTGCACCCTTACATATCTTGCTACATTTAAACATGTGTTACTCCGCCTTTTATTATCTTATTTAATAATTTTTATTACCATTCGTCCCCAATACCTACCGCCTATTTCATCACCTTCATCTCACCATATAATTCTAACCATTTTCAATTAAATTCTTTTTTTTCACTTTTTCTTTTTGGTTTATTACACACATGTGCAGAGTGATATAAATAAGATTGAGTCCATTCAACATCATTTTTTAAACGTAATCTCTTCTAAAATTAAAAATAATGAAATTAATCATAAAAAGTTACTTGAAAATCTAAAAATGCATTCTCTTTTGTGTAGAAGAAATTGTCTAGATGTTATATGGATTTATAATCTACTAAATAATAAAATTAATTGTCCCGAAATTTTAAACTTAATACCCATGAACGTTCCTCAAGTATCTCCCCGTTCCTATCCAATGTTTTATATATCTATTCATATACAAAACTATAGTATAAACGCTCCGGTAAATCGAATATTGAATTTATGTAATAAAATAAATAACTTTGATTTTTATCATGATTCTTCAACATCATTATGGTCTATTTGTTGTAAAACGTTGAATTCATAATACCATAATTACATACACTTTTTTAGCTAACTTGTTTGTAACGTATTTAGTATTATTGAATTTTTATAATCATTTAATTATTAAGTTAATTTCACTATGTACTATTAGCTTCGATGCGAAGCTGAGAAGGTATTAATTTTACCATGATGTGTTGTTTTTTTTTTTTTATGTCTGTTGCCACTTTTTCTCAGCTCTCACTGAACCAATTNAAAAAAAAAAAAAATTTTTTTATGTCTGTTGCCACTTTTTCTCAGCTCTCACTGGACCAATTTCTTTCAACAACACGTCAAAAGATCACAAATCGTATCTAGTTGAAGATATTACCCTTAAAAATTGAAAAATTTTCCCTCATTCCCCACAAATAGGGGAAATATCCATAAAAATTACAAATTTAAAAATCGTTAAATATTGTCATTTTTTTCACTTTTTTTTCTTAAAACTTCCATAACTTTTTCAAAAATCAACAAATCAACATAGTTTTTTTTTTATACTAAAACCTTAGATATTTACCTTTTGTTTGATATAATTTTGTTGAAAATCTAACACTTAACCTGTTCATGGGGGGGATTTAAAATAGAAACTTTTTAAAAAAAACTCACTTTTTCAACTTAATTTTTGAAAATGTTCTGGAAATACTGCGTCCTTTAAATATATACCAAATTAAAGCTTATTTTATGTGCTATAAAATGAAAAAAAAAATTTGTCCCGACACTTTATCTTCTGCATGTAAACTGCTGCCGTAGTTAAAAAACGCTAATTTTGTGTTAAAATTTTTGATTTTAAATTTTCAACTTAAAAGTGCTATAACTTTTCAAAAAATGTAATTATCAGCACAATTTTTTTTTTTCTAAACACATTATAAGTACATCTTTCATTTGACATACTTTTTATTAAAATTGGACAATTTCCCCATATATAGGGGGCATTAAAAACTTGAAACGTTGTATAAAAAATAGAACTTTTTCAACTTAACTTTTGAAAGTGTTCCGGAAATACTGCGTCCTTTAAAAATGTAATATTTGCGATAAAAATCACCTTCTATAAGGATGTTTTTTGTACTTAAAACTGCCATAACTTTTTCAAATATTAACAAATCAAAATAATATTTTTTTATATTGAAACCTTAGGTAATTTCCTTTCGTTTGATATCATTTTTTTTGAAAATCTAACACTTATTCTGCTCACAGGTGGGATTTAAAATAGCAACTTTTTTTACAAAACTTTTTTAACTTGACTTTTGAAAATGTTCCGAAAATACTGCGTCCTTTAAATATATATCAAATTAAAGCTTATTTTATGTACTATAAAATAAAAAAAAAAAAATTTGTCCCGACGACCTATCTTCTATGCGCAAATGGCTACCGTATTCAAAAATATGCTATTTTAACAAATTTTTTTTTTTAAATTAAACACTATCTACAGATTTGCATCGAAGCGTTTTTTATGGTAGTGATTTTAATCACTGTCTGATATCATCTATACTGGATACAACTATGCCACGACCCCACTGTGCCGCCACCCCACTGTGCTGGGTTTTTTTTTTACTATGTGGTACTTTTTGTGGCTACGATTTATTTTGCCAACCCTCACTACACCTACTTTTTTCAACGATACGTCAAATGATTACAATTCGTATTTAGTTTAAGTTATTACTCTTAAAAATCGAAAAAATTTTCATTATTCAAAAAAAAAGTAGCTAAACCATGTTTTTCCATACAAACAATTAAAATCATTAATTTCTAATATTCTTAAAGTATTTATTGTCGAATTAGATTTGATATGATAAAAGTATTCAACTACAAAAGTAAATAATTTTACTTTGTAATTTATTCATTTTTGAACTCTATTTGTGTGTGCTACTACCAGTCTATAATATTCCAAATTTTTTTGTAATATGTTGCTATAAAAATCATAAATTAAAAAAAAAAAATTATTTTTAGTTTAATCTGAATTTAACAATGGATTTTTACAGTTATAATCAAATTGTATAATACGCTCAATTGAGTAAATCTTTTGAACAACTTTGTTTTGTTTGGTTCATTTAGTTAAAGTAAATCATTAAAATTAATTAAGTTCTGAATATTTCCATTGTAGAATCTTTTTAAACACCAAAAGTTATTAGGAAATGATTACTATTATTTCTATTTCAGTTATCTATTACGATAAAAATGCAAAAAAAACCAATTTTTCAGAAAAATGTACTGCAAATAGTAATTATAAAATTTCCTGATTGCATATTAATCTTAACAATTTCATTTTTTTCTATATAATAATATCAATTTCAAACTTGTTAGTTGTGCTGAAAGTTATGGTAATAAATTCATTTTTTTTTTTATTATTATAAACATTCACTTTAATGGACGAAATAAAGAAGGTTAAAAATTATTACTTATAACATATTAAAAATCAATATCAATAAATAATAATTTGAAAACAATTCAATATAAAAATTATATAATATATAATTAAAAGAATTACTAATCTGGGTATAATTAAGGAAATAGAAGTTGATGTTGCTTGTAATGATCCATCATTTTTTTAGAATTAAACATTATCTACTGATTTGCATCGAAGCGTTTCTTATGATAGTGATTTTAATCACTGTCAGATTAAATCTATACTGGACCCAACTATGCATCGTCCCCACTATGCCGCGACCCCACTGTGCTGGGTTTTTTATATTGTAATTGTTTTTTTTCTATGTTATCTGTACTATTTGCCTCACAGGCGTAATTATCCATTATGATGAAATAAACAAATAAATAAATATGTATGATGGCACTTGTACTAGGGTAAAAAGTGTGGGAGGAGTAACTGAAGGTTTAAGTCCTTACTTATTTTCTATAGTGATGGATGAAATAACTAGAGAAATACAAGGAGAGGTGCCGTGGTGCATGTTGTTAATGGGAGAAAATAGGGAGGAAATTAATCAAAGGCTAGAGGTGTGGAGATCATCTCTTGAAAAAAAGGGTCTAAGAATAAGTAGGAATAAGACAGAGTATATAGAGTACGAGTTTGATAAAGGAGAACACGAGGTAGGTGAAATAAGGAAACCGGTGACAATAGGCGAGGACGTGATTGGAGAGGTGGAAAGTTTTAAGTATTTAGGATCAGTTGTGCAAAAGAGCGATGGTATTGACGAAGTTGTAAGACACAGGTTTAAGTGCAGGTGGTTGAAGTGGTGAGAAGCGTCTGGTGTCTTATGCGATTAAAAAATTACAATGAGGTTGAAAGGTAAATTCTACAAGACTGTAGTGAGACCTGCTACGATGTATGGTTCAGGGTGTTTAGTGGTTGATAAGAAAGTAGAGCAGAGAATGAGTGTAGCAGATATGAGAATGTTTAGATGGATGAGTGGAGTGACTAGAAAAGATAGAATAAGGACTGAACATATAAGAGGGAGTATAAGTGTAGCGTCAATCGTTGTATAAGATGAGAGAAAATAGACTTAGATGGTCATGTTATGAGAAGAGAAGAATTGGAAGCCGTAAGAACAGTTGTAGAAATGAATGTTGAAGGAAGAAGAGGTAGAGGAAGACGAAAAAGAGATGGAGAGATACGAATGTGATACGAGGCCATCTGATGTGAGCGTAGAGGATGTGGGAGATCGTGTCAAGTGGAAGTTTAGGATAGGGGTGGCCAACCCCAAATAGTTGGGATTAAGGCGAGGAATAAGAAGAAGATGACCGAGTAATGGATCGAATGCGTTGTGCTGTTATACCGGCCTATCTACATTCTACTATTATATTTTAAAAATGGCGACAAATTCATTGGTTGATTTCAATTTGATTGATAGATATTATGAAATTTAATACTGAAGTCGATCAAATCAAGTAGTAAGAACGACAAATACAAATAAAACAAAAGTTTATGAGCAAACTGGCAACGTGGTATTGGAAAGCGTAAAGAACTATTTTAACGTTTACCCCTTTGCAATTATACAAACTTATTGAAGGAACGTTGTCAGTTTGTTGGGTAAGATCCATCGTTGCTTAAAGTATTTTATTATTATTAGACAAATTATCTCTTAATTCTGGTGTAGAGTTAAGGTGGTGTAAAAGAGGCACACAAATAAGGTGAACGACACAATATGAATGGAATTGTAAGAAGCTCTGGGTTGTATATTGTTGTACTTAACACCACGACGATAACGCTTATGTGTAACGGTACTGTTTTCTGTGGTGCGGTAGCTTAGGAGCTGGCAATACTGCGGAGTGTCATACAATACAGGACTCAACGGTGTGGTCGTGTTAATTCATAAATTAATAAAAAAAACATTAAAATGACAAAGACTTAAGATGTTTTTATTGAAACTATAGCGCAAATTTAA